CGAGCAGCAGCATATGAATCATTTAGACCCATAAGAAATTACATCACCCTATTCCTCTTGTGGCGTTCAATGTGATCTTTTATGGCACTAGAGGTACAAGTTGGCACGTCACTGTATGACGCCAACTCATCCCATAGTCCATCCATTCTTGTGTAATAAGCAGCAACCAACATCTGATCTTAAGTAAGGGAGGCAATGTCACATTAGATCTGGAAAATTTGAGGAATGTTGCTTTGAGATAAATGCTCCTTCAGATCTTTCTAGATATCATGAGCCATAGAGTAGATGACACTATTAGCTATGTCTTGATAAAGGGAATTCAAGATCCAAGATAGGATCATATCATTATATATAACACTGCCAAAGAGAGAACTCATCAGGGTCGGTTTTCTTCGAGGGCTTCATAATGGTGCCATCAACAAAGGTACAAGTTGTGGTCTTTTATGGCACCAGAGGTACAAGTTGGCACGTCACTGTATAACGCCAACTCATCCCATAGTCCATCCATTCTTGTGTAATAAGCAGCAACCAACATCTGATCTTAAGTAAGGGAGTCAATGTCACATTAGATCTGGAAAATTTGAGGAATGTTGCTTTGAGATAAACGCTCCTTCAGATCTTTCTAGATATCATGAGCCATAGAGTATATGACACTATCAGCTATGTCTTGATAAAAGGAATTCAAGATCCAAGATAGGATCATATCATTATAACACTGCCAAAGAGAGAACTCATCATGGTCGGTTTTCTTCGAGGGCTTCATGATGGTGCCATCAACAAAACCAAGTTTATTCTTGTTACTCAAGTAGATTCGTATGGAGTGACATCATGTCCCATAGTTGCCTCCATTTAGTGACTTGGATACAAGAACCATGCCAGGATGGTCAGAGTGATGAATGAAAAGAGGGTTGTAAACATCAGTCTTGTTTCCATCATTGGAAAAGGTTTCAATTTCTTTGTCATTAGCCATGGCAAAGAGCTAAAGAAAACAAAGAACGACGAAGCTAGGATTTTGACGACAAAGAGAAAACAAGAGTTAGGATTTCTCCCGCTCTGATACCATGTAAAATTGTAATCAAAGGAAGATTATTTGATTACTGGATTATTTTCTCTTTACAATGTCAAAGGTATTTATACACAGGTTTCCGTACAATTAAGAGACTAATAAAGGAAAGCAAATCATGTACAAATCAATTACATATAATTTGGCTAATCATTCAATCCCTAAATCAAAACACTGCAAAGCTGTGTGAATTTTTTCTTAAAATTGCTATGATGCGGTATGGAACATCATGTGCCAAGTAGGTGAGGGAAGAAAATTATTTTCCGTACATGAGCCCACAAATCTGTTGGCTGCGCAAATCTCACGGCCTGGAGCTCTGGGCCGAGGGGATATGCGTTAACACGTGGCTTTCTTCTTTTGGATGCGGTGCGGTTGTGCGCGGGTGTGCCAACACGATCTACCGTGCGTCGAGATGGCGATGTAGATGAAATGGTTAAGTGGTGCGCCTGTTTGGGTTCGACTCCTAATCAAACGATTGTGGCCGAGGGAGGAACTGATCTCGGCCGTCAGGTTCACGGCCTGAGCTACAAGGCCGTTTAGTGGTGGTGTTGATGGTGGATTTTGGGCGTTGCTCCGACGCGTTGCTTAGGGAGCGACAGTCGTATGATATATGGGATGAATGAAAGAGTAACAGAGATGGTGCTCCGAGGCCTTGAAAATCAAGGGTCGTATGATATATTGATGAATGGATTTTCCTTACAACCTAACACTACTCCTAGGAAAGCAAGTAAAGATATTGAAAGTGCATTACAGGAAAATATAATTTGCTCCGTGGGAGGCTTTTGGTTTGGTGTTTGAACCCTTTGAATGTAGCTTGAACTTGGTATTTATAGGAAGAGCTCTTGGAGGAGTAATCGAGGCTGAAAATCTGCATGGTGGAGCCTGATCATAGCAAGTGGGTAGTCTAATCGACATTTGGGATCGTGAAGCATAGTGGTGTGACCCCATGAATCCTGGTAAATCTCGGCTGCCGCCGTAATCGTGGGTTCTGCGCTTCTAGCCGTGGGGACGCATTAAATGCCCTGGTCTGGTGGTTGGTGATTTGACCTTATATTGTAAGAATATTTGTAAGTATGTTTGCGCCTAACCACTCTGATCTCTGTCACCAAATCCTGACTCTAGTCACTTCCCTTCTTCCCTCGTGCATTAAATGCCCTTTTGCGGCTAGTGTGTTTGCTAGTCAGAGGCGTTACTTCATTAAATGAAGTGTGGGACCCTGCTGCCATGTGACGATTTGACTCTTAATATCTTCGGTCGTGTCCCCTTCGTCCTTCGGCCTCGGCCTGATGATATCGTGGTTGTAAGGCCGAGATGACTATCCCTTGGCAGCTTTTCCTTTGTTTTGACGAAGGTAAAAGCGCTGCGTTTTGGATCGCGAATAGGTGCTGAGGCCGAGGGAGGAGACCCCTTCGGCTAATGTACGACCGTGATTTATAAATCAGAACACTGTAGTCGGCTAAAATGACTTCAATTTGCTTGTTAAAATATCCCCTCCCTTACCTTGGTCGCCTTGGTATAATGCTATTTCTTTTTCTCTCTCTCCTTTTTTTTTCCTTAAAAGAAAATTTGTAATATCTGGAATCAGATTCTCATTGGACGTTGAGAACAAGCTTATTTGAGGGACACTATTGTAGGGCCCACCACGTATTGTATTTCAATTATTAGAACCATCTAGTGTTTAGATATTCCCTCAAACATCATCTTTGCAAAAAATACTTGAATCCGAAACAATTTGACCACTCAATTAGATATTGTAGTCTTTTTTTGTTGCACCATGTTCTTCTATTTTGTTGGTCCCAACTAGATGCTTAAATGATTTTTTATTTGTTTGAGTTTTTGCAAGAATGATCTATGAATGAAGACTTGAAAAATAGACAATTTGAATAGTTCGAAAAAAAATATATCGTAGGGGACCCTAGAAGGTGTTCCTCAAATAAAATTATTTGAAGGATCTTCAAGAACTCGAGCCTTTGCATTTAGACACTATGCATTTACCCGCATTTCACTAAATCTAGGCCATTATAATAATCTAACCCTTTAGAACATGACACATCATTAAGGTTTTTTTTCTTTCTCTAAACAGACATTAACTTTTGCTATTAGTTTTGAGGTTTTTTTTTTTCCTTTCGTATTCTCCTCTCGTCGTGTTGCTTTTTCCTTTTCACATTTTGGTCAGCTTCTTTTTCTCCCTGCTTGATTGATGCCCCCTCCTTTTTGGGTTCAATGGAAAACCCAACCAAGTAATTTTATGATTACTTGGCTAAGGCAAACGAGTTTTGATCTACCTCAGCCGACAATTCATCAAGTTTTCTGATCTAGCTCAGAGTTCTTAAACCATAGTTTTTTAATTTGCCACATAGTTTGGACGACTTTCGTTCTGCCTTAAAGTTCTTGAACCAGCGGTGTTCGATAAAGGCTTAGTTTTTTTCACTACCCAGTTTTCAGAATGAGTGTGAACCACTCACTCTCTTCTTCATTCAAACCCCTTTACATTTCTTCCACCGAGAGTTTCGCATTAATGAGCAAAACCCAGAAGCGAGTTACCAAGTGCAAGGCCTGTAAGACAGATAAGTGACGACCCTTGGAGATTATAAAATTTTCGGCTAAGGCAGAGGAGTTTCGCATCATGAAATTTATGTTGCCTTTTATGATTGTATGAATCTTCAAACCCAACCAAGTAAAAAATAGGTTTTTGCTTTTTTCCACCACGCATGTGTTGTTTCATGCATCTTCTGGAGAAAAAGGGCTTTTTTGTTGTTCTTTTATGCAATTATCTCCTCCCTTCCCCTCATAATCAAATTGCAATGGATTTGTCTTTATTTTGTCTTCAAAGAAATTATCTATTCATAAGAGGCTGGATTGTGATAAGAATTTTTGAGGTTTTTCCATTTCATTTGGATTTGAATATTAATTCCATGGGCAATTTTTTATTGAATCCGAGAGAAAAGAGAAAACAGAAATCAGTGAGACTGAAGAAGATTACACGAGAAAACAAAAACATGCACTAAACAAGAGTTTAGTCTATTTAGTGAAGGAAAAAAACCTTGATGTTGTGTCACATTCTAAGGGGTTAGATTATTATAATGGTTTAGATTTAGCGAAATATGGGTAAATGCGTAGTGTCTAAATGCAAAGGCGGAGGTAGAAGACTCAAAGACTCAAATAATGCTATATATGAAGATGAACCCATCTTTTTCACCAACTTATATGACAAGCCAACATGTAAAGCTCAAAAGTTGTGTGAATTTTTTCTTAAAATTGCTATGATGTGGTATGGGAACATCATGTGCACAGAGTAGGTGAGGGAAGAAAATGATTTTCCATACATGAGTGTTAGTGTGACTTGTGGGCCATTGACTTAATTTCCTTAAACACCAAGGATTCCTATTATAATTGTGATTGATTTACTTTAATTCATGATTTCCTACTGTAAATAAAAATATGAATTTATTATTTACTTGGCCACTCAGGCTCCGTTGTATTATAAATATAACCTCCTACAAGGAGAGGAATATACAGAAAATTCCTACAAACAAATATTCTCTTATAGTTCTCATATTTTATCATGGTATCAGAGTGGCTATCTTGGGATTGTTGACTCTAGTTTCTAAACCCGAGCCGCCACAATGGGGAGGATGACTCTCCTAATCCTCATGGCGGCAACACCACTGCTTCCTTCTCTCCTTCTCAACCAACCACAGCTGAATTGCCCAGGTGGCTCATCCTAAAGATGCAGACTCAAACCTCGAACCCAATCCTAAATTAGGATCCTACCCAAACGAACCCTAACTCGACTCAGATGACGACCCCGAACTCAACTTAGACGACGACCTCGAACCCGACTCAGAGGACGACGTTTACCTATGAAGCTTTCGCTACACAGATCAGCATCAAGTTAGATGGCACCAACTATGCCCCATGGTCCCAAGTTGTCGAGATGATATCTCCAGCAAAGAAAATTTGGAAATTGAATGACGATCTTCTACAACCTCCTCTGTCCACTCCAACGTTTCCCCACTGGCGCACCGAAAACTCCATCGTGAAGGGATGGCTCAACAATTCTTTGGAGCAGAGCTTGATTGGCAATTTCATTCGCTTTTTGACGGCAAAAGCAATGTGGGATGCAATTGCCACGACCTATTATGATGGCACTGACACCTTTATGGTGTATGATCTGAAACGACGAGTCCCCCGTATGCGACAAGCTGGTGGCTCCATTGAAACCTATTACAATACTCTCCAAAGTTTGTGGAGAGAGATTGATTTCCGTCATCCAAATATGATGGAGTATGATAGTGATATCCAGCGCTATAGTGATATTCTGCAAGAAGATCGAGTTTACATATTTTTGGATGGCCTTGATGATCATCTTGATGAGGCCCGAAGCGATGTTCTTCACATGACTTCGTTCCGCATTGTGGACCAAGCTTAAGCCTATGTCTGCCGTGAAGATGTTCGACAAGTTGTGATGATGGGTTCATTTGCACCCATTGGCGCTGGCTTAGCGGCCAAAAATGCTCCTCAATCAAGGCCACCCGGCCGCCAGGACAACTGACAGGACCCGCCCCGAATTTCTCGAAATCCGAGACGAATCCTGTGGAAATTTAGACATCACACCGATGCCGGGCCCACTAACTAAAAATTTAGTCTCTTTTCCAAATTAAGGGAAAAGAGCACGAGACTTTCTACCGAAATTTCGGCAGAGTCTCCCCTATAAATTGGACATTTCCCAAAAATTCCAACCTGCATAAAACACATTTAACAATGCCAACCGGCAGCATGCACAATATAATCTCATGCAAATCAAATAATAGGCCTTCAGCCTTCGGATAGTTCGAAGCAGAACCAACAATGTTCTCAAATCAATTAATACATAAACCATGTAATTAATAACCTCAAACAACTTTACAAACATCACAGAAAACGTTAAACCGGATTCAAATCCAACAATCACATCGCAAAATCGATCAACCCTTTTAAACACCATAATATTTCGCGGCTGCGCCTGATGAGACCCCAGGCTGCCTACGTACCCTTGGACAAGGGATCAAGCCACACGTAGTTCTCATCTCAACGGTCACAGTTCCGAAAATAAACAATCATTCACAACATAACCAACTACACATTTCGGATCCATCACAATTTCAAATTCGACAAAAACACAATGAACACATTCTCAAACTCTTCCTTTGTATCAGTTCAAATTCGTAACCATACCCTATTCAAGGCGTATGTACATTAAACACATTATCCAATTATTCCCCTTTTAACAGTTCAATCCCGCAACCATACCCTATCCAAGGCGTATGGCGCCAAACAACACTGCCCAAATCCAGGGCTTATACGTTCATACATGTGCAGGCTCACAAATCTCAAACCAGAATCAAAACCACATATACATATATGTAATATGTATAACAAGAAAAGAATAATTATATATATACATAAACACACCCACCTCTCACCATCATCATGTACCAGGGGAAAACAATCCAACAGGGGATTGTTGACTAGCTCACAATTATCAGCCCTCAAACGGACTATGTGGCTAGGGACGAGCCGTCCAACTGGGGGACTAACTCTCAGCCAGCACGTACGGACGAAGAATCAAGAAACGTACGCCTGAAAACAGCCCTACGCGCGCAGACTACCCAATTAAAGGTCTACAGCGACACCCCGTTAAGGTATGCCCCGGGTTCCGTCATATCCAGACCATTTCCACAATTTCCATATATCCATTTCCATGTATCCCAGTGTCCATATCCACTGTTTCCAAATATCATCATCCAAGGGGGAGGTACGTATGATGGTGGAGTTCGTAATCC